TTATTACACTCAAATTTACTGCACTTTAATTGAGTTTGCGCTTTAATCGCTAGTGTTTTGCACTAATTGTGTGTTTTATGCCTTGTAGGTGTGATTCCGAGCTATATAGACGTTATGGAATGAATTTAAGTGATTTGAAGCTTTGAAGTCTGAGTAAAAGCTCAAGGAATTAAGCCGGATCGTGTTCGGGGGTCAAATTTGATAATTAAGTGCGAACGAAGACTTGAGGAGGCATATTGCGCACTGTCTAGTAAAGTAGACATAACTTTTTGCTCAGAACTCCATTTGGGCTCCACAATATATGGTTGGAAAGCTAACTCAAAGGACTACAATTTTACTGTTTTACGTTTTTCCAAATTCCAAACGGAATAGGGTGAAAAATTGCGGTTTTGCCGCGACCACGGCAGAACCGCGGTAGAAGATGGTCGCGGACAACTGAAGAATCAGAGGGCATGTTTGGCCGCGATTCCACCGCGACCGCGGCAAAACCGCGGCAGGAAGCGAAAATTTCAGGGACTAAAGTGCAAAACATGGGATTTTAAGTCCTAAACCCTATATTAAACAAAGGAGGCCGGCCAAGAACAAAGAGGGGGACATATTTTGGACACAAAATTAGACCTAAGGAGGCGAGGAGACACTACTTTAGGGTTAGACAACACCCTTGGAGGCAAGAACACATTGGGAGGAAGGCGGAGAATTCTTCTACGAGTTTTTTCCTTCATCTTCCTATTTTTCATTGTTGGTTATGACTTTTAGTATTGTAGTTTTACATACTATTATGAATAGCTAATTTGTTATCTAGAGTTTTGATAGAACCTTTTGTAGGATAAATTCTTGTTATGTTTTTATATAATTGAGACATAGCTTTTCTCTATTTGTTCAACTACGTTTATATTATGGTTGATTGAAGAGCTCTCAATTAGCTGTGCCTATTTAGTATGCATAACTCGGGAGAGAGTGCATATTTAGGTAGTTGTTGAACAACACCACTCCCAGAGTATATGAGGGATCAACAACCGAGGGTTTAAAGGCGGGATTAGGGATAACGAAGCCTTGGGTGCGATCTGAAGTGAGCTGTATTAAAAGCCAGCTAGCGTAGCTCGGGAGAGCGCGTCTAGTAAATTGTCGTAATTACTCGGGAGAGATTTACGGTAATAAGAGTGCTCATGATCGGTAGAGAATACTTAGGCAAAATTATAGAAGACATAGCGGGAAGGATACCGACAATAGGGGAAATCATAACTCTAGATCTCCTTAATCTTTTCTCGAACCCTCAGTATCGTTAGTTGTTAATTTACTATTTTAATTTGTTAGTTAAGTAGTTAAACACAAGAATCTTAATATCTATAAGTTAGGAATTGTTCAAGCTTGTCTTCTCGGTGATAGTGAACAACTGTAGCTAAACCTTAGTTCTCTGTGGGATTCGACTCCGGACTTGTAAACCGGATTATATTTGCAGCGACCGCTTAGTCCTTTTTATAAGACATAGTTGGGCGTGACCAATGATAAAATTAACTAGTGATATTATTGTAAGTTTAATATGAAATTAGTGAAATGGATTGTTAAAAAAATTGAAATTTGTGTGCCTTACCAGCATGTTTATTTAAGTTGTTACTTTTGTTGGAAAATATTTATACAACACTTATAATTCCTGATAGGTACTTATAAAAAAGAGTTGGTATAACATGTGCTTTAAGCTAGAGTCAAATTTCCAATATAACCAACAAGGGTTGTGGTGGAGTGGTAAGTACTCCTTCATCCTTAACCATAGGTTTCGGGTTCGAGCCCCTGGATAGGGAGTCGCCTTTGTTAGGGAGCGCTTTACCCCCCAATGTGGGACTTCCCGGCGCGAATCCGGATTTAGTCGGGCCCAATGTAGGTAATGGACACCGGATGAGAACCAAAAAAAAAATTCCAATATATACTAATATTAGTTTCTTATGTTTACATATAAAATCACGCGTTCAATGGTTGAACTATATAAATTGATAGGAGAAGAATGTCAAAGTTTAAAGTTAGACTAAAAATTTGATAGTTTTGGTTAGAGTATAATTTCACTTTTTCTTCACGTAGCGCTTTTTTTTTCTTTTCTTTTTAATGTCAAAGTTGGTATTATTGTCAAAAGTTTCTCCTCCAATCACGTTTATTTTTCTATAATGAAAAGAAGAGACCAATTAAGATAGTTTAATGTGTGCTCATCATTTGTAATAAGTTCTATATTATATCATTGTGTATGTAAATGCAAATACAATCTTATGGAGGAAGACATGAGAAACCTCACGTCAAAAAAGTTGATCACTTAAACTCTTTGACTAATCATCACACAACATAAAATTCGTTAGACAATGAAAATCACTATCACATTGACAAAATAATCACCGCAAAGTCTAAAAAGCTAAATCACATCATTTTTACTCTTTTTCTTTTTTTAATCAGTTGGTATCTGATTAAATTCGAATTCATGCCAATTAGGTTCACTAAGAATAAAATGCTTCTTATCAATGAATATTTATATATTTAAAACTCGAACTCAAAATCTTAAAATTTCAAATAATCACCGCATCCTTTAATGGCATCTTAGAGCAAAATAAAGCAGCCATTAATGTTACATCATACTCTTTGAAATGCGATCATTACTTGAACGTCATATATATACAGTATGCTTCGTGCACCGAGCTGCCCTTCAATCTAGTATCATTTCTCCTCTTTAGGTCTACAAAAATTATGCTTAGGTTACCAACAAAAGGCCATGACCTTTGCTTCAGCTTCACCACTTTGATAATTTCCATCATTCCAATGTGCTATCTTTTGACCTCCAAAATCTCCTACATTTTGGCCCCATTTCATTCATCAATCCGCCTTAATATGCTCAGCTAAATCAAACCAACCCCACTTGCCCAAAATCCTCTTAATAAAGAAATATACTTGAAATTCCATCCTTTTGTGGTGGAGTAAAAGGTGGCTAAATTGTTTTACCTTAGTCCAACAACACTATTCCCTAATCAACTTTTTTACATACTTAACTAGAAGAATTGTTACATTTTGATTACTAAACTGAGGACATGGCTGGCGAAATGACATTGTTATCGAATAGTAAGACATGATTAATGAGTTGTTAAACGACAATCCAATTAATGGTCAATAAAGATTCATAAGCTATAACAACTACCAAAGTACAACGCATTAATTTCTTTGATTAAACCCCTTTACCTTCCTCTTTAATGCAAGACACGATAAAACATGCAATGAAAAGCTTAATCTGTTCATTATGCTTAAGAACAACATTAAAATAGTACTGAATTATTTGGTTCAAAATCAGGATATCCCAATTATAACTTGGATAATCAATCTCACCTTTTATATGGAATGAGTTATATAAAAGATTTGGTATAAAAATAATCCTGAATTTAGTCAATACTCCAATCAAATACAAGATACATTTAATCTCAAAATTTATATCGGGATACCAACTAACCCCTTGAACCAAATGGACCCTAAAGTTCTGGGATATCCCATGAGAAAATAATTTTAGAATATTCCATGGATTATCTATCTCACCTCTTACCTGGGATAGTTAATACCATCATTTAGTAAAATTAATATCAGTATTAGTTAATACCCACAACCAAAGATGAGATAACTATAATTTCAAAGTTTGTATCAGGACTAATATTCTTATCCCAGTAATCAAATGACTCCTAAGGGATTTAAGTTATTTCATAAACATTATATCGATACTACAAATTTTTTTTACATTATCTATGATGGTTAGGCCGGTCATGTTGTATGGTGTAGAATCTTGGCCAGTCAAAAATTCACATACCCAAAAGATGAAAGTTGCAGATATGAGGATGCTGAGATGGATGTGCGGGCACACTAGGATGGATAAGATTAGGAATGAAGATATTCGGGTGAAGGTGAGCGTGGCTCCCATGGAAAACAAGTTGCGGGGAAGCTAGGCTTAGATGGTTCGGGCACGTGAGGAGGAGAAGCCTGGATGCACCGGTAAGGAGGTGTGAACGGCTGGCCTTGACGGGTATGAGAAGAAGTAGAGGGCGGCCTAAGAAATATTGAGGAGAGGTGATTACGCAGGACATGGTGCGGATACAGATTTCCAAGGACATGGCCCTTGATAGGAAGTTGTGGAGGTCGAGCATTAGGATTGTAGGTTAGGAGATAGGAGGCTAGTATGATAGTGTTTTGTTTTAGGCTGTTGGTGACTGCAATTGTGTTCTTAATACTTCATTAGAGTCGTAGGTTAGGATGTAGTATGTTTAGTGGCCCTCCGTGTACATATTATTCCTTTTCGTCTGTAGTACTGTACCTTTGTTACTGCTTAGTGTTATTACTTTGCTCTTTATTTTTTGGTTATTGCGTTGCTGGTGTTATCTTTATGGATTCCTTTGCTGTTACTGATACACTGCCTCTTTTCTTCTTGTGCCGAGGGTCTACCAGAAACAGGCTCTCTACTCCTCCAGAGTAAGGGTAAGGTCTGCGTACACAGTACCCTCCCCAGATCCTACCTGTGAGATTTCACTGGGCTGTTGTTGTTGTTGTCAATATGTTACTCCCTCCATTCACTTTTATTTGTCCACTATTGACTTTGCATAACTCTTAAGAATAATAAATAAAGTGGGTAATTTACCATGATACTCGTATTAATTGGTGTATAGTCTTATTGGATTTAGAAAATGATTTGGAATGAGTAATTAATGCTAAAGCCAAAACAGAAAAAATAAACTATTTTTCTCTTAACATGCGAAAGTGAAAATCTAATTTTAGAATAATGGACAAGTAAAATGAATGGAGGGAGCAATTATTATAATTTTTATAAATTGTCAATTAAAGTTTATTAGGAAATTTCTTTATAATCACCTTGATAAACTCCTTCAAAGCTAACCTCATTCAAAGCTTGTTTCTCCATATTGCCCTTCTTTGTCTCCTCCAACAAGTCCAACGCGACTTTCTTTAAAAGCTTATAACATAATTTCAAATTATCTACTCTCAATTTTCTCTTTCCTCGTAATATATAAAATCCAAGCTCAGTCCCACAGTCACAGTCACACTCTGTTTTCCACTTTCCTTCTCTCATCCTTCAACAATGGCAGCTTCCAATTCCACTTCCTCCATTTTCTTCCTTGTTCTCTTATTCGTCACAGCTCTTTCACGTACAACTCCAGATGCCTCAAGAACAACATTCCTTAACGTTCCTTCCTCCATTCAAAAAACCCTGAACCCTTTCTCAGTGGATTCGTCTCAGGCTGTAAAAGCACTAAAGCAAGATGAGAATGTCATTTCTACGTCATCGTCATCTTCACTGAGTCTTCAACTGCATTCTCGAGTATCAGTACGTGGTACTTCACATAGAGATTACAACTCACTTACACTAGCTCGACTTGAACGTGACTCAGCCCGAGTCAAATCGCTTCAAACTCGTGTAGATCTGGTTGTGCAACGGATTACTAAATCGGATCTTAAACCGATTGAAGTCGAGTTTCAAGCCGAGGAATTGGAAGGGCCAATTATTTCAGGGACGAGTCAAGGAAGCGGCGAGTATTTTTCACGAATTGGCATCGGTCATCCGCCGAGTCAAGTTTACATGGTGCTGGACACTGGAAGTGACGTGAACTGGATCCAATGTGCGCCTTGCGCCGATTGTTACCAGCAAGCCGATCCGATTTTTGAGCCGGCTTCGTCTTCTACATTCTCGCCGCTCACTTGTGAAACGCAACAGTGTAAATCGCTTGATGTTTCTGAATGTAGGAACGACACGTGCCTTTATGAGGTCTCCTACGGCGATGGCTCGTATACTGTCGGCGATTTTGTGACGGAGAGAGTTACCTTTGGAGGCTCTTCTGCGGTTGAGAATGTAGCTATCGGATGTGGACATAATAACGAAGGTTTATTCGTCGGCGCCGCTGGATTGTTAGGTCTCGGCGGCGGCGCGTTATCATTTCCTTCACAAATTAATGCTTCTTCCTTCTCTTATTGTCTCGTGGATCGTGACTCGGACTCGACATCAACTCTCGAGTTTGGCGGAGTGATATTGCCTGACGCCGTTACTGCTCCGTTAATCCGGAATTCGAAGCTCGACACATTCTATTACCTGGATTTAACGGGACTAAGCGTCGCCGGAAATTTGCTTTCAGTTCCTCCTTCAGCTTTCAAAGTGAGCGATAACGGCGACGGCGGCGTGATTATCGATTCAGGAACGGCGGTGACAAGGCTTCAGACGGACGTGTACAACACGCTCCGTGACGAGTTCGTGAAAGGAACGAGGCACTTGCCGTCAACTAACGGCGTGGCGTTATTCGATACATGCTATGGTTTGAAATCGATGAAAAGCGTGGAAGTTCCAACGGTGTCGTTTCATTTCTCTAACGGGAAAGAGTTACCGTTACCGGCTAAAAATTACCTAATACCGGTTGATTCGTCGGGAACTTTCTGTTTCGCCTTTGCTCCAACGTCGTCATCGCTGTCAATTATCGGTAATGTTCAACAGCAAGGGACACGTGTCAGTTTCGACCTGAAAAACTCTATCATTGGATTCTCATCCAATAAATGCTAGTAATAGGTACTCGTAATTTATTTATTTCCTGTTTTACCCCTTGTTAGAAAGTTATTTTCGATTTTAGACTGGTCGGCCCCATTTGAAAGAAGTGTAACGTGAAGAAGTGGGACCTGTTCAGTAGGGTGGGGTGTGTGTTATTATTGCAATTTCCGTATTGTGTTTTCTGTATAGTAATTTATTGATAGTGTGAGGGGCATTAATGGCAATCAGCGAAAAAGATAGTGAATTTGATAATTTGAAGCTGCTGATAACAGTACGTGAATAGTGTTGATTTGATTTGGTGAAGTAGGGATCATGGTTAAAGTTTATAACCTGGTCGGTGCATGTGGGACACGTGGCTCAATATTGACTTTTAAGTAATTTTAATGCGTGATATATGGAAAATGAATCCATGCTGTTGGTTATCTATTTTGCTTGGATTATCGTATTATCATGCTTAATATTGTTTGTTGTTACTGTTTTTTCCACGGTCATATGTTGTGACTAGGGGTAAACGACGGTCGGGTCGAGTCGGATATGGATTGAATCGAAAATGGGTAATCCAAAAATGAATAAATTATATGATCCAAACAATTTAACCAGTAGATAATATGGATATCTGTATTATCCATGACTTCTTCAATATGATTATTTTGGGAGAATTCCTAATTTTTCAAACTTGTGGAACCTTCAATTTTTTGAGGCTTTACAAATGTAAAAGTTAAACACATTAGTAATCTATTGATTATCCATATTTGAATCCGTTTTTAAAAAGTTTATTATCCAACCCATTTTTAATGGATAATATGAATGGATAACTACCTCCCAAGTAAGGATAAAATATAGTGAGTTACTTTATTTCTGAGATTTTTTCACTTTAATTTGGTTGGTGCTATGTTTTTTAACCTTGAAAGAAGTTAATGCAAACTTTGTTGCACTTGTCTTCTTTGTTTTGCTTATTTTGATGCTTTTCTTAAGGCTGGTTGATTACCTTTACCATATTTGACGTCACGACTTTTTCTTTAAAAAAGAATTCCTACTATATAGAGATAGGGAAAACCGGAAAAGGAAAAAATGGACAATTAGAAATGAGTGTGACAATCTCTCCTGGTATTAGTAAGCCATAAACTTCTGTGACATTTTGACCTTACAACTTGATCTTAGTATTATAATTATTGAAAATTAGAATATTGGTCAAATATTTCCTTATACTTTCTGTGTCCCAAAATTAATGTAGGGGTTCGAAATATGAGTCAGCACAATTTGTAAGTCACTTAAAACCTTTCCAATAAAAGTAGTAAACTGTGCTGCATCAAACGAGACAGAGAGTAATCTCTCTCTCTCTCTCTTTTTTTTTTTTCTTTTTTTTTTTTTTTTACAAAAATAGAAGAAATTAAAAGGAGAGCTGGCAAGCTATAACAAAGTGACTGAATTGGAATTTTGGGTTTCCCTGAGCATGAATTGGATTTTTGGGCTCACTGGATCGCCTTGCGAAATATTATGGTATAGCCAGTTTTCACACTGGTCAATGAAAAATAGCCAGCGTTTATCAAGTCAATGAAAAATAGCCACTATTTTGCTGCAACAGGGACCGGTCCAGTATAATATACGGGAGTTCTGGTGCATTTGTGTACGAACTCCAGCATATTATGCTGGACCGGTATACTTTGCTAACTCCTGTAAAATTTGCGGGAGACTGGAGCACCAGTGCTCCAAACTCCAGTATATTATACTGGACAATTATACTTGCTGGAACTCCGGTAAAATTTGCGGGAGTTCCAGCATAATTATGCTTGAACTCCCGTAAAATTTGCGGGAGTTCCAGCATAGTTATCCTAGAACTCCCGTAAAATTTGCGGGAGTTCAAGCATACTTATGCTGGAACTCCCGTAAAATTTGCGGGCGTATTTTTCCGGATTTTGAACTGTGCTTTCGCTCAGATTTAAAGTGGCTAAATTTCGATGACTTTTGAAACTTGGCTATTTTTCAACGACCAGTGGTAAATCTGGCTATTTTTTAATTTCTCCCTATAATACTTGTGAAAACAACATTAAAAGTCTCTTTAAAAAATAATAGCCGGTAAAACAAATAATTTTTGTAGATTAATGTCTAATATACATATTTTACACATAATCAGTATATATTAATAGGCAAGTAGTATGGGCAAGTTACACATTTGAGATTTTTACTGCTATATAAACCTCCACTCACTTTAATACTATATTGTTTTCAAAGAGGAAATCCAATTCTTCATTACTAAAATTTACCAGTTAATAGCGTGTAAGAAAGACACTACTAGTTGAAAAAAGGAAAATGCAATAAAGACAACTAGGAAATGTCAAACATTTTGTGAGTGTAAAATGGTGTGAGAAAAAGCCTTTTTAATAGGATAAGCTTGATCAAAAATAATTTTAATTTTTTTTCTAGTACAAATGAAACTGCTATAATCAATATGTGTTTGCTGTTGTTAAAAAAAAATCAAAAGCTAGAAAGATTATGATCAATTGATAATGAATAAAATGAAAGACGAGGAAAACACATGAAATTATTCTGGTGGAAAACAACAGATATTCGGTAAAACAATCAAAGTATGCGCAATTAATTTGGACATTTTTATTTTAAAAAGCATGAAAAGTGAAAACCTCAATAAAACCTCAATCAATAATAATATTATTATTTCTATCCCTTTTACAATTTCAAGAGTTTAAATTTTGATATAACGAGAAAAAATGTAAATCAGTGTTTATTTTTTTGGTACATTTTATATTATTTTGAATTTCATAACTAGTCAAGTAGACGGAAAGTGCACTAGGAAAAGGATTTTGTAAACAAAGGAATGTGATCGTGGCAGAGACAAAAAAAATTATTTTGTGTCTCAACAAAGTGGTCCCAATTCTAACACATTTGGATCCGCAAAATCTTAAGTCAATTTTATTTTATTGTGAAACAAAACAAAGCCTCACGCTACTAATATTAGTTTTGTGAGGCACATAGTAAAAATTTGCACGAAAACTTGTGACCAGAGACGGATTTAGGGAGTGAACACCCTTCGCCAAAAAATTACACTGTATATATAAGGCAAAATCTGTTTTTTACCTCTATATATTAAGTTTTGAATACCTTTAACACATTCCAAAAGTGTAATTTAATGGTCAAGGGTGTTCAAAATCTACATAAGGTCATGGGTTCAATTCCCACTAGCTACAAAAAAAAAGTTTTTGAACCCCATTCGTGAAGATCCTGCCTCCCCCACTGCTTGTGACTTGACGTGTGAAATGTTATGAACAAATTCATAGCCATACAAAGTTTATCGATTTTATATTTGTCATCATCAAATTCGTAACTTATTTTAGCTGTTATATTCACATTAAATACTTATAAATATTTAATAAATTTAAAATATAAATATAAAGTTTATATAAAAATTACTGAACTTATTCTAATCTGTACATAATACTCTACCTCCGACCTAGTGTCTCACATATACTATTGTTTTTTCCTCCCTCGGCGGCGGAAATTCCTAGCCAGCAGCCAACCACATGTCTCTGACCCCATGCACAATTAATACTACTTTGTAACCTAATAGCTATACAGACAGAATAAATAAATAAATAAAAACTGTTCTTAATGCTTAATTTGTTATTTGCATGTTCCGGTCAATACACGTCTAGTATGATATTATTAAATTACTAAAATTATATTGCTATGTGCTTAGTTGTTTGTTAAGTGTCCGTGTTCTGATTGTTATCTTTTTCTTTTATTTATCAATGACAATGATGCAGGCAAAATTATATTACTATCTGCTTAGTTTTTTCTTTATCTAGGATAAATTGTAGAGAGAATTGCAACACGAAGATAGCTGGATTTTTAAGGATCTGAATTACTATACTGATTTTTGGTTTTGTTTTATATGTGCATATATTTTTTGGTATATAAAACTGTTGGTGAAATTACAAGTAATTATAATTAAAAAATAAGCTGAAGAAAAATAAATAAATATTCTTCGGGCTAAGGCTCGGATATCTCGCTCTCTTTAAGGTAATTCAAGCCCACTGCGGTAGTATCTTCACCGGCCAGCAGTAATATTCTTGACTTGTCCCCTCCAGGATACAACAGCCCGACAACGTCGTATGACTCGAACAAACTTTGGACAAGTTGTTGAGTCCAAAGCTCCACAAAAAATGAACACCTTCCTTCAACAAAAATAATATTCTCTTTTTTAGAGAATAAGTTAGAGACTTAGATGTTATCCTTCTCTTAGCTTTCTTTTTCACAATAGGAACCACACCTTTTTCATGTATACCATAACATTTTTCTCATTCTCACTGCCATATTTTTTCCTCTACAATACAAGGAAGAAACACCACTATTTATAGGAGTAGAATCTCTTCCATGAAATAAATAATAAGATAGTTGGATAATAAAACAATAAAACATGGGTTGGTGGTTACAAGATATAAGTTTTAGTGGGTAATAAGTAGATCATGGCATTAGTAGTTTCATGAGTTACACCAAAATAATGACCACTTTCTTGCCAATTACCACTATCTCACAAAAAATAATGCACTTTATTATTATAATTTTAATATTAAAATGCACTAACACTAACAAAAACTTTTAATAACCAAAAAAATATCGACTTATTACAACTCACCTATCGACTTTTTTGGTATATATATTCCATTGAACCCCTTCAACTGTTCTTAATTCGTTAACTCAAAAAGCATTAATGTAAAATCGTGTCGGTCTATTATATATACAAAATTATTATATTATTATTCACTCTTAAAATTGGGTAATAATTAAACTTATAATGTGATTTTAAGGATACGTAATTTCGCCTATTACCAATTGATAATGCAAAGAGTAATAATAGAAATTAAAAATAATATAAGGCAAACCAGTGTTTGGACAGAATTCAGCCCTCGAGCTTGAATACCCTCGAGCTAGTTGTGCAAGAACAGTTAAAATGTAACAAGCTGATGAACAAGAGAGTATGAATTAAAGAGAGAATATTGTATTGCTTTGATCTGCGTGAATGTAAGGTGTTTACAAAATGAATAGAACCCTCTTTATATAGTAGAGGAATCCTATCTATGGTATAATTCTAATTATGAAAGTAAATCCCATGATTAGCCTAAACAACCGCCCTTGATTTGATCTTTTCCGGGATTTGCGCTGTGATCTTCGACCGGTCACGGATATCTCGCTTTTCCGTTATTGCGCCTTGCTCGAAGTCTGCCATATTTGGTCTCGATCGCTGCTGGCCTCGATCTCGACAGGCACCTCGATTCTCGAACTCGGTATCTTGTCTTCGTGCTTTGGTATGATCCATTACGAGGCTGACCCTCGATGCAATTCTCTGGTCTCGATCAAATAGTAAAATCGGGCAGGCTCGATTTTAACCGTATACAGATAGTCCCCTCGTT